TATATGCACCTAGAAAATTAATTTAAGTAGGAGTGATAAGCGTCTTCCCATTATTTTTACTTTCAACAATCCTGTTTATATTCTTCATCATTTGTATTCAAGACAATAAAGCATAATCCACGTTTATAACTGACTCACACACATACATAAAGTGGGCTGTGTCTAGTATGTTACAGTACAGGTCATAGAAACAACTGCAATATCCCATTATAAATTCCCTACTCCACTAAGCTTTAGTGTATACTATAAACAATTCTAACAGTATTATTAACATTAACATAATTTATTAATCAATATCTGTACTAGATAAACTTAGGAAACAACCTGAACCACATTTTCTGAGGCTCCTATTTACATATTTTTTGCAATCTATTTTCACTTAAACTTTTATGTTGCCACAAGATAAATCTGATTTTCCTCCATTGTAACCAGGATTTTTCATAGGAAGTAATCTGCTAAGTGCATTCATGGTTCACAGATAGCTGCTCAGTTAATTCCCTGAAATACTTCAATTTGGCAAGGGCAGAGATTGATGCTATGAGTAAAATTCCCAGTGAGGGTAATACACGAAAGAAGGAAAGGGTAACAATTATTATAATTTGTATCCTGATACAAAAAGAAAAATAAGTAAAATAAGATTCTGTAACTTATGACAGATCCCTCAGAGGTTATATAAAACTGATGTCTAAACTTAATCTGACTCTACATTTGCCACCTCTAGGGACTTCAGTAGTTTAAATTCTCAGAGCACCATGTGCTCAAAAGACATATGTATATATTCAGCCTCATATTAACTTTGTGTTACTAAGTCAGAAAATAAATATAAAATCTTTACCTTTTGCACTTACCAGTAAATGTATAACACATTTACTTATCTACTAAACCTCAGTGTTGTGAGACTAAGGTAAAAGTTATAAGGGGTTAATAACAAAAGCACCAAGAGGTAATAAAGATGAATTTAGAAATGCACTTTAGGATATATAGGATTTTCAATATAAAATCTTTTACTTGTTAATGATCCATAAAACTATACATACTTATGGAGTCTGCATGTCTTTAAAGTCAGTGAGAGGCCCATTATGGTAGTCTACAGCTATATAAGCTTGTCATTTTGGGAGGATTAGGCAGGGGGTGACAAGTTGGAGACCAATCTAGGTAACTTAGTGTTTTAGCAAGACACTGTTTCAAATTAAAAAAAAAAAAATTAAAGGAATAGGAATGCAGCTGAATAGGAAGGTCTTGTACCAAAAGGGGGAAAAAAGAGTGAATGGCACAGTTTTTCTCAGATCCAAATCAGTGAGTTATGTAAATATTCTGGCAAATTTCTTTACAAAAAAAAAAAACATTTTATAGCCTAGAAGTGTATAAACTTTGCCTTCAGTATGAACGCTTCTATTGCTAGCTTAGTAACCAAATTCAGACTCTAAATCATCAGCTGTTTACCTGCCTAATGTAGAGTGTTGACATCACAAAGTACCTTGGCTACGCTCTCAACATCCTCCTTAGAGTCATCTGCAAGAAGCAGTCTACAGCACACCTCCTACCTGCTCCTAAAGGACAGACATCATCCCAAGAAATGTCCCATGATTAGGCTACTCTTTGTTATACAGACACTCATTTAAGAGAAGACTGAATTTCTACCACAGAAGATCCCTCAGGGTTACATCCCAGACAAACAGAAAAGAGGATCATTTTTTTTTTCTGGCAAAAAAAGTCAAACTCTATGTTTCTTCTAAACTAAATTCTAAATTTGGTATGTTAGCTTCTCCTAAATTTGCTGAATTTCACTCTTACCACATTCCCTGAGATTTGCAGTATGCCCCTTTGTTGTTAATGACAGTTTAGAAATGTGTCTGTCTGTTAAATGAAGTTCTCATATAGATGACAACATAGCAAGATAGGGAAATTACTAATTTATATACTAACAGCAAAATAGGATTTGTGAAGAATCTGTCTCCCTCCATGTCATTCATCTTCCTCCCACAAGCCATTCTCCTGGAAAACATGCCCACAACATACACATGCACACACACCCACACCCACACACACACATACACACACATACACACACACTTTCCACAGACTATCCACACCTTCACTGCTTTCTCAGAGCTGATTACTAGTGGATTGCTGAACCCATCTCCATGTAAGAATTCTCTGCAATTCCATGATTCTGCTTCTCTTGGATTAACAGGTGAAATGATCAGGACTCAGAGATGTCTCAGCAGAACAGAGAGGAACAAAAGAAAGAAAGCGATGGAAACAGAACAAGAGTCAACAAAAGCAGGAAGGCCTTTATACACATCCCTCCCAATGGAAATCACTTCTGTCTAGTGCAGAAGTGGTTCTCTCAAGTTTCCAGACTAGAGGAATGTGTTCCTAAAGCCATAACTGTTTTACATGAAGACCACGGCAAACAGCCATGACATTGCACACTCTCCTCTTGAATCTAACACTGAGACTCCCACACTCTGGCCTGCTATTAAAATGGTCCAGAATTTATAATGCTTTCAAGCTGTAGAGAGTTAATGCATCTTTCGGGACAATATTCCCAGTGACCCAATATCCTGATTCAAGAAGGATGAACGAGTAAAACAATTACAAGTTTTTGTCTCTCCCTTGTCCACATTCGCATTCCTTTCCTCATTACTTTGTGATCTGATATGTTGACTATACAAGTGCATTAAAATTTTGTCAGCTTCCTTCTAGCTTCCTGGAGCATGCAGTATAGTGATGTTATCTCATCAGTGCAGTTACTCACCAGAAACACATTGCTTCTACTTGTAAGTTATAACCCATACATCAACCTTTACCCAGTAAGAAAGGCTTTTATAAAAAGACTAGAGATTGAAAGTGCTGACAAAGATTTTAAGTACAGGGAATCCTTGACCACTGTTGGTGGGAATGTAAATTTGCACAGTCAATACATACAACAGTATGATTAGTCTTTAAAAAATTAAAAACACAATTACCATGTGATCCAGAAATCCCAATTCCCTCCAATAAGAATAACCTTGTGCTCCTCCATCCCCATTACCTGCTTGGTATATTAAAAACTTTCAGAGAAAAGAAACCAATTATCTATAAAGAAAACTCATTAGAATCATGAAGGATTTCTTGATACAAGTCATCAAATCAATAAGAGCTTGGAATGAAGTAAACCGTGCTCTGAAAGAAAATAACCTCCAACCCAGATTGATGTATCTTGAAAAACTGTCTCTCAAAACTAATGGAGAAACAAGATACTTCCATGACAAAGAGGAACTGGGGGAGTTCATGACCACCAAACCAATCCTACAAAAAATACTGAAGGATATTAGAGAGAGAGAGAAACAAGACCAGGTTTCAGGAACAGTGGCACAGGGGGATCACTGAATGGGGCAGACAGTGGAATGAAGGAGAAAAGTAGACAACCAATGTTAGAAAAATAACATGGCAGAGATGAAGCAGAGAAACTTGGCTACCACTAATGTAGATGGCCTCAATTCACCAATAAAAAGAAACAGGCAGAGTGGATCAGGAGATAGGGTCTATCAATATGCTCTATATAAGAAATACAATTAACCTGAAAGAGGATTTATAGACTGAAAGTCAAAAATGAGAAAACAATGCTCTGTGTGACAAGGAACCAGATATAAGTTGGTTAGCTTGCCCATCAGCAGCAGATTGGCTAGAAAGACATAACACTTTTATACAATGGAAAACTACTCAGCTATAAAGAAAGAAAACCTTGAGGCTCTTGTAGGTAAATAGGTACAACTTAAGATCATGCTCAGGAGTAAAAAGGTTCAGAATCACTTAGGTGAATAGCAGTCTGCCTTCCTAATCTAAAAACTGAAGTAGTTAATGGGATGCAAAATGTACATTGCGCTCTGTGAAAGTGAGAGGGGAAGAATTGTCTAAAAAGGGAAGGCAGTGGACATTGTTAATATTTTATCATAATTTGAATCCCATATTGTTTTTCATCATTCTCTTTAGTTTGGTTTTATTCTGTTCCAGTTTGCCTTCTTGTATTAGATTTGATGGCATGGACAGTGGACAACTATTCCAAAGATAGCAGGATATATTATGGTAACTATATCTGATTTCCTATTAACTTGATTTGAAGCCCTGTATTGCTTTCACTGTCTTGTTTTGACTGATTTTACTCTATTCTGTTTTTTTTTTTTTGATAGTACCAAATCTGAGGGTATAGGCAACTGCTTTGAAGACAGTAAGACTCACTATGATACCCATTCTGATTTGACTGTTATCTTCTTTTGAAATCCTGTAATGGAAACTTCTGGAATGATTTTCCGGAATTCAGAGCATTGTGAGAAACCATCTCCCAGCCTCCTGCCCAAACCCTTTCTTACATGACTGTTTAATCTTTGCCACACAAGTCATATACTTAACAAGCTCCTTTGTACTTTGAACTATAAAAATAGGCAGATATTTAAAATCTTGGAGAACATTTTGAAAGTTGTTTGAATTTGGTGTCTCCTGAATGAATTCTTTGTTGGCAACCAGGTTGTTTTTATTTTGATGAATAGCAGTAATTAATATTTACCATATTTCCTGAATGTTCAACCTTAATTTAAATTTCATTTCTTTGGGACTCTAAAATACAGCATTGTCAAAGAGTCAGAGTGATATTGTAGCACAATAAAGTTGGGCACATTAAAAGAAAGGAAAGACAGAGAAAGGAACAAGACACTCTATTGCATCTAGAAACTTGTGGTCATATTATGCCAACTAAAACAGGTTTTCAACAAGTACAGACTAAGTGGAGAAGATGTACACTGTTTTGGAAAATTACTAAAAAAAGAAAAGCTTAAATTAATCTGAGAAAAAGATTTTAAAAGAGTAAATATGTCTCTGCTCACTCATTCCCTACCACAGAATATTTAGGACTCCCAGGAAATGAGAGAATATAATTTTGCCCAGCTTTATATTTAACAAAGACCTTATGGATCTGAAGCAGCTTCCAAAAATTTTCAGAGACAAATTATTCCTACTCCTTATGACTCAAAAGGGTGGGCCACTTGAACTAATATCTTCTTTAGGGCCAATTTCACATCCTTGTTTCTCAAGGTGTAAATCAAAGGATTGAGGGAAGGCGTTACAATACTGTTCAGCACCTGAACCACAGAATCTAGCCAGGGGCTGGAAGCTGGACGGAGATAGACAAGAAACACAGGCCCGTAGAAGAAGAGGATGGAGGTCAGGTGGGCACTGCAGGTGGAAAAGGCTCTGCGCCTGCCTTCTGAGGAGCTGATTTTCAATATGGACAGAACAATGCGCATATACGAGGTGAGAATAAGGAGAAAGCACATGAGTGCAACAACACCTATATTGGTGAAACTCACCATCTGTGCTAGGGAGGTGTCTGCACAGGCCAGGGGAAGCACCACAGGGATATCACAGAAAAAATTGTGCACTTCGTTGGGGCCACAGTAGGGTAACCTGAAGGTGAGGAAGGTGAGAACACTCCCGTGGAGACAGCCCCCCAGCCAAATGCTCACCGTCAGGACAGTACACACCCTGTGGCTCATGATGACAATGTAACGCATAGGATGGCAAATGGCCACAAAGCGGTCATAGGCCATCACAGTATAGAGGAAACACTCAGTGCCACCCAGGGTATGGTAGAAGAAGACCTGGGAAGCGCAGCCCTGGTAAGAGATGGTGTGGCTTCGCCCCACCAGGAAGGCCATCATTTTAGGGGAAACCACAGATGGAAAAAGTATGTCAAACATTGATATATTTCCCAGGAAGAAATACATGGGGGTGTGGAGGTTGGAGGAAGCCAGAATGGTCAGGAAGATGGTCAGGTTGCCCAGTAAGGTGAAGAGGTAGAAAGTCAGGAACAAGATAAATATCATGCTCCCCAGCCCTTTAGTATTAGAAATTCCCAAGAAGATGAATTCGCTCACGGATGTGTAGTTCCTCATAGTTAGCTGCATGTTCATGCTGTGACCGACAGCCCTAGAAAAGCAAAGCAACAAGCATGATCGAGTCTTCTGTGCTCTCAACCAATTGTTTTCATCTTGGTTAGTGATATAAATTGGTATTTACCATTATAGTCAGGAGTTGTGAGGAGAATAATTACAATCAGGACACACAATTTATTTTATTATTTTATGATGGTCACCCAGAGTTAAACACAAGAAAGTACAGGAAATCTGTTCACAACACAGAAGACACAGAATATTTATCCAAGGGCCTGGATCCTACTGCAATGTCCTGCATGAGTCCAGATGAAGACCTAGAGCCCATGACAATGCCTCCCATGTGTCCAACTGGAGGTCTAGAGCCTACAACAAGGACTCACCCAGGCTGTTTTACAAATCTGCTGGGAAGGTCCAAAGGTCAGTGGTGGAAGCCAGAAAGTTTATGCCAGCTGGCCAAAGGTGCTGTGCTGGTAGGTTGAGGCTTCTACACTGGAGCCAAGATGTCATACTCAAAATAAGGACCACGGCTGCCCTGAAAAGTACCACAGCCATCCTCAGCAATACAGAGGTCCCGAGCTCCTCCAATGATGAGAACAGTAAAATACATGCCAGAAGGCCAGTATAACAAGCTTCTCCTGGAGATTAAATGACACACATCTTCCCTTCCAGAGCCAGGGAGACATGCTCAATGTAAGTAGCAGAGCTCCCCCAAAGTGAACCACAGCCACCCTCACCAACAAGGTCCCAAGCTCCTCTGATGATAATAACTGAATTCATATCAGGCAAGCTAGCCAGACAAGCTCTTCCAGGAGAACCAACAGCCAGAAACAGCAACCTTGCCTTTCTTAAGACAAGAAAAAGAAGTCCAAATGAGGAATAAGAGACCATAATAAATCTGGCCTGGAGGTTATAGTAAGAAATATGCAAAATTTGGCATCAATTTTCTCACATAAAAGTGTATTTGGCAAGACCTTATGGAAGTCAACTCAGGACCAACTTAATTTATTTTATCTAAATCTTTTTATCATCATACTAGCATATTTCATAGCAATCTCTCTTCCTCATAAAAAAATTTGCTAGGAGATGACAATGTAATAATCATCAGCTAAGTTATAGTTTGTAAGTAGGGTTACTAACTATGTGCATGGACATATTTAAAATAACACAGAAAAGATAAACACCTTAGCTTTACTTTCCGCAATGCTTGTTTTTCATCATTTATATTTGAGTGAATAAATATATAATTCATATTCATAATCTTCTCACTCTTCTACAAAGACGTAGACTGAGCATAGAAGCTTATAGAAATGATTATTCCAACCACTAAGAATTCATTCAACTAGATTTTATTTCTATCCCACAGAACTCCAGATACAAATTTCAATAGCATTACTGCAATTGGCTTTATTAGTTAATACTAGTACTAGATAAACCTAAGAAACAACCTAAATTAGGTTTGCTAAGGTCCAATCCATCCCTCTGATTTTGGGGGATTTTTGTCATTTGTTTGTTTGGGGTTTATTTGTTCCATCCCATTTTTTTCTATATCTCCATTTGTTGCTTTGAGATATAACTAATTTTCCTCTGCTATGACAGGTTTTCTTCACAGCAAATAGTCTGACAAATCTATTTTTAGCAACTTTCAGACTGTTATCTTGCTACAGTTGTCTAAATTATTGCACTTCTGACAAGGGTAAAGCTGTGCTGTGGGTAAATTTCTCAGGGGTGTAATCAGGACAAGAAGGAAGAGGAGGGAAGGGAGTGCTCTTGGGAGCAGTGCTGAGGGCAGACTAACAGCCAGAGCCTGAGGGACAACAGGCCTGCGGCAGGGTTTCAAGGGTTTGAAAAAGCGGCAAAATTATGCCGAGGAAGTGAGAAGGACTCCGGTACACAAGCAACTAAATTTCATGCCTGTAAGACTGAGTTAAATGTTATAATGTCGTGGTACCAAAAGTATTTCCAAGATGAACAAAAATGTGATTAGAAATGGATTTAAGCTTTGGATTTAGCTCAGCAACTCAAGTGCTTGCCTGGTAAGCATGAGATTGTGAGTTCAATCCCCAGTACCAAAAAAAGAAAAAAAGAAAAAGAAAAGGATTTAAAAGACTCCAGGCAGAGGAAGAGAAATGGACCATTAGGGCTCCAGACAGTGTGTTAGGTAAAAATACCCGCAAAGTTAAAATATAATCTTGTAGGTGAAAAGAACATAAGCATCCATCTACTCTGAAGTTTCCTGTGTCTAGCTCCGCCATCAAATTCATACCACACTGAATTCACACTGCTATATGACACAAACGTGTGGTCCACGTGCCCCAGGCAAAAATAAGTATAAAGCTTCACCTTAAATACACTTTCTCTTCTTTGCATCCCTTCTTTCTTCCCTCCTCCCTTCCTTCCCTCTTTCTTATCTTTCATTTTAATTGTTTTTGCAGTACTGAGGATTGAACATACAATCTTTGCATTGAGCTATTTTCCTAGCCACCACCCTCTTCTTTATTGTTTTGAAACCATGTTGTACTAAATTGCCGAGGTTTCACTAAGACTTGCAATCCTCCCGCAGCAGCCTCCCAGAGTAATAGTACTATAAGCATGTGGTACCACACGCGGGTCATAGATATATTTTCAAGCTTGTCCTGCCTTCCCACTAGATATTCAATTCCACATCTCTGTGCACATCTATTATTAAGGAAAGTCTGATATCAGTCCAAGAAAAAAATCCAACACCAGTTTTCACCAGCTCATAAATATATTCATTTGGAAAGAACTGAGTTTCAATCACAGAGTTTCATAAACTGTTCTGCAGAGGATTGCAAGTGGAACCTTCAGGATTATCTCTCAAGGAAAGAAGACAAAATAGATACTTTCTTCTAACTATAAATTCTAAAATTTTATAATATTAGCTTTCATAAACTTTTTGAGTTTCACAATTACCACACTCACTAATATTTGCATTTTCCCCTTTGTTAATGACAGGTTGGAAATTTACATGTCTAATAAATGAAGTTTCTATATTGATGGCTATATGTTAAGGATAGTGAAAATTACTAATTTTTATATTAATTGAAAAATAAGATCCCTGAAAAAAAGGATGTATCTCATCCCATGTCATCTATCTTCTCCCTAAAAGTTGCACTCTTGACACGTGTGTGTGTGCGCACAACTCTCCCTTTCACTGCTCACTCAGTGCTGGCTTAGCATCGATTGCTGAAATAATTGGCCTAATATAAAATTTCTCTTCAGTTCTATGATTCTCCTTCTCTCCTTGGCAGACCAGGTAAAATGACTAGGACATATAGAATATCTCCATGGGACAAAGGAAAACAAAGAAGACAGCAACATGGGCAGAAGAATAATTAACAGAAGCAGAAAGAGAATCACACACCTACCAGCTGATGAGAAACACATCTAGCGTGGATACAGACAATTTTTCTAAAATTCCTAGGTAAGAAGAATGTGTCCCTAACACTGGACCTCCATTTTCCATAAGATGCCAGGGCAAAGGGCCATGATTTGCACCTTCTTCTCTGGAACCTAAGACATAAATTCCACACTAAGCCATGCTATTCATCTGGTCCCCAGACTCTGAATTTATAAGGCTTTAAAACGGCCGTGTATTAATGGACCTTCTTTTGAGACAATATTCCCAGTGGCTCAAGCTGTGATGCAAGAAGTTGAAGGAACAGAGAAAGTCATTAGAGGCTTCTTGCTTTCCGGGAGCCCTTCACCATCCCCTGCCTCATTATTTTATCATGTGGCGTATTTACCATGGAAGTAGGATGAAAGTACAACCTATTTGGGAAATAGCCAGAAAAGCAAGAAAAATACCACATTTCCTTAAATATAATGTCACCAGGGTTTTTCCAGTCACTTCTGTTTGTGGTAAATTTTTAACTACTTACAATCACAGTGTGGGTATAACTGTGCATCTCTCTTTTTTAAAAATTTGATATGAATTTATTTTTTCAACAAATTTTCCATATCACTAAGTTTTTACAACTATATTTTAACTGTAGTATCATCTTCATTATTACATGCATATATACATATACATATAGGTATATATACATATAAACATATATAAAATAACATAATATAGAATATATTATTATATAATATATATTATATATTAAAGTGCTAATTTTTCATAAGCCATTGTTAAACAATTGTGTTTAATATTCATTTTTCATTAGTTACCAGTTAAATGTATTTGGAATTTCTTTTTATTACTTTTCTTCATAACAATTAAAACACAGTGGTGTTAGTGTAGGACAAGATAAAAAGATAAATGCAGGCCAGGAATATAACTCAGCAGCCCAGGGTGTACCAGGCAGGTATGAGATTGGGAGTTCAATCCCCATTACTAGAATAAATAAATAAGTAAGTAAGTAAATAACAAATGGAAGAGGATAAAGACCAGTAAAAGAGCACTTGAAAATACGAGTAACTGATGTTAAAGATGGTCTGGAAAAACATGAGAAAAAAATTTTTGCAAGAAACTATACTTGGGAAATAAAATTGAAAAGGAAACAGTGAAATTCATCTCTTCCCTATGTATGGTAATACACAGGATGAAAGTTAATTTCAAAGTTATTATAAACTCAAATACATAATATAGAAACAAAACTTTTATAATTCAAATTAAGAAAACCCTTTGATCAAAATAAGGAAACTAACAGTAATAAGGGATACACTGAAATTTTTGTTATTTTAATGTTGAGTTAATATTTAAAGGTAAGGAGGAAAAATTGAAAACTAGAGGAGGAAATACAGCCAATATTACTAACAAATACAACTCATATTTGAACTATAAATAGAACTTCTATAATTTTTGTTAAACAAATTAAATATTAATAAATGACTTGGTTAATCTTCACCAAACAAAAAAGCATTTAATTTTAATAAGCAAAAGAAAATCTGCTCAGTCAATTTAAGATTTGAGAAACTTAAAATTACAATTAAAATACAATTTTTCGTAAAGATGTTAAAATGATCAATTACTA